GAGGTAAATAAAAGTTGGTGGGTCCAGGCAGGACCATCATCCGAGACATTCTGCACCCAACTCTCACTGGAAGTGTTCAAGGCCACTTTCTGAGCAACATGATCTAGTGGAAGATGCCCCTGCTCGTTGCAGGGGGTTGGACTAAATGGCCTTTAAGGTCCCTTCCAGCCCAAACTGGTTTATGATTCAATGATTCAGCGCTGAACAAATGAGGGTTACACAGATTTTGGGCAACTCCAACACAAGACTCACCCACCCAAGGAATCACAAAATCACATCATCAGCCGAGTTGGAAAAGCCCTCCGAGATCATCCAGCCCAACCCTTGATCCAACCCCGCCGTGGTTCCCAGCCCATGGCACTGATGCCACATCCAGTCTGTCCTTAAACACCTCCAGGGACGGAGAATCCCCCCCTTCCCTGGGCAGCCCATTCCAATGGCTGAGCACCCTCTCTGCAAAGAAATTCTTCCTGATATCCAACCTAAACCTCCCCTGGCACAGCTTGAGACCGAGCCCTCTTGTCTTGCTGATGGTTGCCTGGGAAAAGAGCCCGACCCCCCCCGGCTCCCCCCTCCTGGCAGGGAGTTGCAGAGAGTGAGGAGGTCTCCCCTGAGCCTCCTCCTCTCCAGGCTGAGCCCCCCCAGCTCCCTCAGCCTCTCCTCCCAGCACTTGGGCTCCAGTCCCTTCCCCAGCCTCGCTGCTCTTCTCTGCCCCTGCTCCAGCCCCTCCAGGGCCTTCCTGAGCTCAGGGCCCAGAGCTGGACACAGCACTCCAGGGGTGGCCTCCCCAGCGCCCAGCCCAGGGGCACAAGCCCTGCCCTGCTCCTGCTGCCACACTCTTCCTCAGCCAGCCCAGCAGCCCTTGGCCCTCTTGCCCCCCTGGCCACACTCGGGCTCCTCTTCAGCTCCCTGCCCAGCCCAACTCCCAGCTCCCTTCCTGCCTGGCTGCTCTCCAGCCCCTCTGGCCCCAGAAGAAACACCCCTGACTGCAGGGATGAAGAGGACAGAGAGACCTCAAACACGGGAGAGTTTCCTTCAGGTCAAACCTGAGCCACATCCGTGGGATGGAAACCTGACTTTGCTTTCCCAGCTCCGAAGAGACAAAAAATAACTGAAAACGTACTGAACGTGCAAGTCACACTTGATTTTTAAACCAAATGGAAGCCCTGCCAGCACAGCTTGGCCTAAAGGCAGGAATTGCTTTTACAGAGCTCCACATCAGCCTCGGCGGAGAATTCACACGCCTGCACGTGGCTGGCACAGGAGCCTTTAAAAGCTCCCACAAAAGGCAGTGACTGCACTAAATGTTCCCCCCCAGAGGAAAAATTATCTAAGGAAATACTGAAAGCAAAAGGGAGATTCAGCCTCTGCGCAGGGAGGTGATTTTGCCTCTCCTTTTAAACCGAAAAAGGAGATTTGGCAAGAAATTCTGCGAGAAGTTGGTGGGTTTGAACCTCTCGACACGTTGGGTGTGCAATGGAAACATAAACAAGAGATAAAAACATCTACAAAGCCCTTGGTTATAGACACCAAAAAAAAAAAAAATAAATTGAAATATGAGGATCAGAACCATGGGTGGTTCCTTAAAATTCTCCTTGAATGGGAAAAACCCAATTGGATCAGCCCTGCCCACTCCTTAATGGATTGTGAGGGCTGGGAGCCAGCCTGGAATGACAACTAATTGGTTTACACTAATTAATAACAACATCCAGTGGCCATCAAAGCATGGAGCCATCACCACTGGGGAGACACTCAGATTCTGGGACCATCCTTCTTCTTAATAAATGCTAATTTGACAGGAAGAAAACATGCCAAAGCTTCCAGGGATGACTCCTTGGAAAGTCACAATCCAGTGATTTCAACTTTATGTGTGGGATACCTGGGAAAATCAGCTCCAGCAAGTCATTATCCTGCAAAACAGCTGCACACTCTGACTTTTGAAGGAGTTTTTTTCATGGATTTTCAGTGGTTGGAGCTTGGCCAGAAAACCCTCACGTGCGTCATCTACACCACACTGAGAAAAGGAAAAACATCACAGGGATGTTTGGGAGGGAAAATCCCACTCAGAGGGGGAAGATTGAAGCAATTTGCATAATTTTGGAGACAGGGCAGTGGAGTTTTAAGGCCAGTATTGGCAGTGACCACCCAGGTGGGAAGATTTATCACCTCGACGTGAACCGTACAAGAACAGGCTGGAAGAGGGTCCTTGTAGCCTCATTTAGGATTGAGTCAAACAATTACAGTCTGGAATTGAATACAGAATAATTCAGAGACAAATTAGTTTTGTGGTTTTTCAGTCACTCTGAAAACTCTGACTTTCTAAGGAGGTTTTTTGATGGATTTTAGGCCATTGGAGCTTGGCCAGAAAACCTTCACGTGCGTCATCTACTCCACACTGAGATAAGGAACAACATGACAGGGATGCTTGAGGGGAAAATCCCACTCAGAGGGGGAAGATTGAAGCAATTTGCATAATTTTGGAGACAGGGCAGTGGAGTTTTAAGGCCAGTGTTGGCAGTGACCACCCAGGTGGGAAGATTTATCACCTCGACATGAACCGTACAAGAATAGGCTGGAAGAGGGTCCTTGTAGCCTAATTTAGGATTGAGTCAAACAATTACAGCCTGGAATTGAATGCAGAATAATTCAGAGACAAATTAGTTTCATGGTTTTTCAGTCACTCTGCAAACAGGTTTACCCAATTTTACATTCAAGGATGGCAGAATGGAAAACGAGCCCAGCAAAATGCAATATTTCCAGAGGGTGATTTTTCTAAAGGATAATCTTTACAGGAACGGGCTGAGGACACGATGGCAGAGGGTGCTACAAAACCTCTTATCTCCAAACTAATTCAGTTCCAAACATGTGCTGATAGTCATCCCCAAGCAGCTTTATCAGCCTGTGCAGCGGGGGCTGATAAATTCTCGAGTCGTGTTCAAATCACAGCGGCGGCTCCGGGCTGGAGGAGCTTCAGAAAGATCCTCAGGATAGCAAAGAGTGGGATGGTTGAACCACAAACCCCTCCAGGAATGCCACAAGGCAGGGAAAAGCAGGGAGAGAAGTGCCAGGTTCACTTACTCCCTGCTCCCCACACTTCCATCCCACCCAGGGGGTGACGAGGCCAAAGATTTCAGGCTCCTTCTGTCGATGCAGAAACAGCCTTTTTATTTCTTGTCTCCATAAAATTAGTGTAGGGAGCTATTTGGGATGATTTGGTGCAAAGAGGCAGCATTTTTTTCTTCTCTTTCACAAAATTACCCTTCTGCAATGTGGGGAACAAGCAGAACTTGCTTGTTGTGACCAAAAATAATTCCAGTTCAAAGCGATCTCCGTCCACCACGAGAAACAAATTCTAGGAACTGGAGGAGAAAATTCCAAGCCATTCTGACTCTTCAACCCCAATGAACTTTAAGGATATATATTGAGATTATAGGATATATTTTCCTGGCTACAAATGAAGCCAGAATCCATATTATTCCATTAAGGATCCCGAACAAATTTCTGAGGTTTACAACTTCCACGGTCCATCCCACACCTGCTGTGCCCAGACAGGCACAGATTTAGTGACTATTAATCCATGAAAAATCCTGGAAACTCCCCAAAATAATAACAGCAAGAACAGTCATTACTATTACTCTATGTAGCCATAAGATACCTGTTTTTTACAGTTATAAACTGGGATAAACCTTAAAAGTGATCAGATAAACCTTGGGAGCTGTGAGCTGCTTCCTTAGAACTCTGCAGGTTTTACCCATGCCTGAAGAGATGATTTTACAGATCAGAGGGAATAATTAAGGATTATAATAATAATAATTAATATTGATATTACTAAATAATAATAATTAAGGGCTAAAAGAGCTTGAAACAAACAACAGCAAGAGTCAGTTCTTTCGTTTCAGTTCCAGGCAACACGTAAAATCCCGAATTCTGGGGTGAGATTCCACACTGTCCTGTTATGCCTGGAGCTGGGATGAGACCTGTGGTTGTTGCTGTTAGCATTGCTCCACACCAGAGCCCAAAAAAGCTGTTTCAAAAGATACTTCTTGTATAAATCCTTGACCCCCAGAGCCAGATCCCTCCCATTCCTCATATCGGAGGGAGCCCCGGAGCTGCCCCGGTGTCACATCAGCCACCAACACCCCGCACTCAGGAGGCAGCAGATCCCACCTCTGCTCCTCCTGGGAGCTGGGAATGTGTGTTTAGTCCCATTACACAGCTCTGTGACTGGCAGGAGTCCCCAGAACTTCTAAGGGAGGAACATGGAAATCTTTCTCCCCAATATCCCACCTATCCCGGGCAGCGGGAAGTGATTTCCCATTGACCTGGCACTTCAGCCCCTTGTCCCCAGTCCCTCTCCAGCTCTCCTGGAGCCCCTTTAGGCCCTGTAAGGGGCTCTCAGGTCTCCCTGCAGCCTTCTCTTCTCCAGGTGAACCCCCCCAGCTCTCCCAGCCTGGTTCCAGAATCATGGAATCCCACGATTGCTTGGGTGGGAAGGGACCTTAAAAACCTCCAGTTCCACCTCTGCCATGGGCAGGGACACCTTCCACTATCCCACGTTGCTCCATCCTGGACTTGGACACTTCCAGGGATCCAGGGGCAGCCACAACTTCTCTGGGAAATCCATTCCAGCCCCTCCCCACCCTCCCAGCCAGCAATTCCTTCCCAATATCCCATCTAACTCTACCCTCTGGCACTGAGAAGCCATTCCCTGTGTCCTGTCCCTCCAGGCCTTGTCCCCAGTCCCTCTCCAGCTCTCCTGGAGCCCCTTTAGGCCCTGCAAGGGGCTCTCAGCTCTCCCTGGAGCCTTCTCTTCTCCAGGGGAACATTCCCAGTTCTCCCAGCCTGGCTCCAGAGTAGAGGAGCTCCAGCCCTGGGAGCAGCTCCAGGGCCTCCTCTGGACTCTCTCCAGCAGCTCCACGTCCCTCCTCACTGGACACAGAGCCAGGTCCTGGCTAGACATGGCCAGTCAGGGATGTGCTGACAGGTCCCTCAGCCCTTACCTGCAGCAGAGGCCTCTGCACCCCCAGGACCTTCATGGTGTCCGCGTTGGCCAAGATCTTGAGCGGGTCCGACGCCTTGGTGACGCCTTCGATCTCCTTGTTGATCTCAGCCAGCACCTGGTTGAGGAAGATGTTCTTGATGTACATGGTGAGGAACTCCCTGAGGGGGCACTGCTTGGCTGGGCCAAGCTCCATGGCAAACTCGATCTCCTGGATAAACCTGGAAAAGAGAAGGGGAACAGTGAACGGTGACTAAACCACGGAGGGGCTTTAAACGTGTCAGCGGGGCCTCTGCCACTCCTGCACCTCAAATCCAAGCCCCAGCTGGGAGGGAATGACTGTGGGCTGTGCCAACATGAGGAAAAAAAGTCCACAAGGTGAGACAAAGACTCAACTGCTGGAGGAGAACAGATAAAATGAGGGAAAATCCACATCCCGAGCACAATTTGTGATGATTTGTTCAAAAAACGTTGACTCAGCTGCTGGAGGAGAACAGATAAAACGAGGGAAAATCCACACCCCAGGCACCATTTGTGATTATTTCTTCAAAAAGCATGGACTGCTGTGTTTGACACCTACTGGAATGATGTTTTTCTACAATCAAAACCCCCCCAGAAACAATTTGGGATGCCAGGAATCCCTTGGAAAAGGCAAATTTCCTCCTGGGGTTGGTCACTCCATTCCCACAGGTGGGTTCCTCATCTCTAAACCAAACAACAGAACGTTCCAGCTGGAAATCACATGGGGGAAAAAAAAGCAATGCATATGGATTATCCTGTTCTCAAGCTGCATTATGCATGCCTGTATTATGGTGTATTTTTATCATCCTCCATTGTTTCACCCAAGGATCCCATTCCCGCTCACACAGATGATCCCGGGAATATTTTAACACCAAATGTTTGCCATCTCCCGCAAAAATCTCTCGATTTCTGCGGTGCCATCTGCTTAACACTTCCAGAAATTACCTCTTTAGTTTCTTCAACTGCATCTGAGGCAAAGAAATAATCTTCCTTTTTAAGTTTTACGCATCGAAATAATTAAGGATTGAGCGTTGGGAGCCAGGACGGATCGAGACTCGCTGTCCAAAGTTGTGCCAGGGGAGGTTTAGGTTGGATAGCAGGAAAAATTCCTTCAGTGGAAGGTGAAGTGGTGGAGTCACAGTCCCTGAAGGTGCTAAAAACCACAGGGATGTGGCACCTGGGGACCATTTCCCCAAATATTTCAACGAGATTTCCTTAATTGTCCGTGATTTTCTCCCTCCCCTTCCCACGCTCCAGAGGAGGCAGCTTCCCCTCAGAGCCCTGACTGAGGAGCTCCTGCCAGTTTTCATGGCATGATTTCCTTCAAATCCGAGCCACTTGCTCCCTAAATCCTCTGCCCTTGGTGACTCCAACAGTCTGGAATGACATTTGATTCCAGGGGGGATCCACCTGCAGCTCAGCTGGAAGATGGTTTCTCCAAAGAGACGGGAACACAAAGTTCTGGCAGCTTTATTCCCCGGATTTCACAGACCAAGAATGGGGATTGTCATATATAAATGAAGTATAAATATAAATATGTTCCTCAGTATAAAACAGGGAAGCAGTGGAGTCACCTGGGAAGAGAGCAGAGCCCCCCACCAGCTGATCCCTGGAATCACAGACCTGATGGCACCACGTGGAGTGACAACCACTCATGTCCTTTAGGGAACAGTGTCAAGGTTGATGGGACCATATTAAATTAATTCACCACGTCTCCCAGTGAATTTGTCACCCTTTCTTCCCGAGTTTATTTACACGGTGCTTGTGACACAGAAAACCCACAGAAAAAATGTGAATTTTACCATTCCAGCTGGGGAAGGAGAGGCACAAGGGGTTCGATTTGGAAAGGAGAATCATTCAGTGAAGTGAAGGAAAAGCTTTTAAACGCTTTTTAAAATCCAATACACGCTTAAAAACGGCTAAAACACGCAAAAATAAAAAACTTTCAGAGGGAGAATGAGCAGGCATCAACTCTGAGAGCTCAGAAGTGCTGAACTGCAGCAGCTCCTCGTCCCACAAGAGCCTGAGGGTGCTTCCAAGGGTTTCCTGGACCTCAGACTAAATTGCCTGTGCAAAGATATAGGAAAGGTCAGTGCTAAAAAAAGGTGTCATCGAGACTTTTTGTTTGCACCTGGCACTAATCCCCATTTCAGATCCCTCCTAAAAACTTGTGCCTCAACCTCCAGGAAACTTCTCGATTAAAGTTCTGGTGGTTGATGTGTTCCAAAAAGTCTTAATGCTTTGGCACAGACAAGACAAAACAGTGGTTCACTTAATCCTGGGAAGAATCAACCCCATATCCCTGTTTTCCCTGAACCATAAAGCAAACACAGACTAGGAGAAGGTGCCAGACTGTGGGAGGGGCTTTTGGGAGTGCTCAGAATGACTTGTGATAAAGAACAAAGGGTCAGAAAGCAGATTTGAACTCCATACCAGGGCAAAGGTATTAAGACAGGAGCTGGAGGGCTGGAGGATGTGGATGAGGGACCCCAGGATTGAATGGTCAAGGACAGTTTGATGAAAGGATGATGGGAATGAAAAAACAATTTCTGAAGTCCTTAAGTAATCCAAAGATCTCTGTCAAAGGAAAGGGAAGCAGAGAAAAGGCAAAGGGAAGGGAAGGATGGGTGTCAGAGCGTGTCTTACAGCAGGGAACAGCCCTAGGAGGTCAGGAATTTGATATTCCAATGGTACAAGGACACCATCCCTTGGTGCAGCCTCCAAGGAAAACTGGGATCCCATTTTCCATGATGGTTCAAAGATGACTTAAGGATCATCCAGTGCCACCCCCTGCCATGGGCAGGGACACCTCCCACTAGCCCAGGTTGCTCCAGCCTGGCCTTGGACACTTCCAGGGATCCAGGGGCAGCCACAGTTTCTCTGGGAAATCCATTCCAGCCCCTCCCCACCCTCCCAGCCAGCAATTCCTTCCCAATATCCCATCCATCCCTGCCCTCTGGCACTGGGAAGCCATTCCCTGTGTCCTGTCCCTCCATCCCTTGTCCCCAGTCCCTCTCCAGCTCTCCTGGAGCCCCTTTAGGCCCTGCCAGGGGCTCTCAGCTCTCCCTGGAGCCTTCTCTTCTCCAGGGGAACATTCCCAGCTCTCCCAGCCTGTTTTCAGAACCACCAAATCTGTCACACCCGAAAAATGCACAAATATCCCTTGCAGAGGAAGATTTTGGATCATGGTTGCTGGAGATATCCCTGGAAATCACCTGGAAGCCTCAAAAAGCCTCCAGGAATGGCACCACTCCGAAGGACACCGAGATGTCACATGAGGGAGGAATTCTTGAAAAGAGCAGCCAGGGGGGGAAAAAATATAAAAATATGGAAATCTGCATCTTATCCTGAATTCAGAACCCGCATTTTCCAAAAGGAGGCACCATTTTGAACTTGTTTTCTCCTCCTAGAAAAGCATTGGAGGTGATTTGTGGCTGCAATTAAGCATTCCCCTCAGACTTGCAGGAAAATGAAGTGTCTTTGGTTAAATGACAGTCATTTGGATGAAAAAAGGGGGGAAAAAAACCCCAAACAAGCCCATCGTGGCAGAAAATTTAATTCATTCCAACTCACAACTTAATTGGCTGTGAGGACTGTCTTACCTAGGCTGGAAGTGGGGAATAAAAAGCATAAAACCTAAAAAAAAAAAAAAAAAGAAAGAAAAGAAAAGCTGAATGGATTGATTTAGAAACCTCCAAGTCTTGCTTTCTTCTGTCTCCTCGTTATCAGATGCCTTCTAAAACATCATTAAAAGGCACTGAAGACGTGTCGCTGAAGGTGCAGGACACCAACCACTCCCTCTCCTTAATGATGATGATAATTTTATCTGAAATTCCCTCTTCCAACGAGTGAATGACAGGAAAATAAAATAAAAAAGAATATTCCAAAGCCTTATTAAGGGAACTTTTTTTTCTGATGTTCGGCCCAAATTTACATTTCAGTTTTGTGTGATCCTGAAGGGTTCCCTTCCCTCTGTCTTAGGCATAAAACAGCCAAGTGCCCGGGATGGACCTTTTGGTGAGGAAGGAAATATTAAGGAAGCATCAGAAATCCTTTGAAATGGATCCTGGTTACTGCCAGAATGGAAAAAATTCCCAACTGGTTGCTGGGACTCAAGGAAATCAGGGATAAAATACCTGAGGGTACAGGTTCTGGAAGGGAGAGAGACATGTGGAAGATCCCACATTTTCCATTTCCCATCCAGAAAGCTTTCCCACCTCAACAGTGGGAATTTGGGGAGAGGTTCAACAGAATCAGAGAATCATGGAATGGTTTGGGTTGGGAGGGAAACCAAAGATCATCTGGTTCCAATCTTGACACTTTCCACTCTCCCAGGTTGCTCCAACCCAGCCTTGGACACTTCCAGGGATCCAGGGGCAGCCACAGCTTCTCTGGGAAATCCATTCCAGCCCCTCCCCACCCTCCCAGACAGCAATTCCTTCCCAATGTCCCACCTAACCCTGCCCTCTGGCAGTGGGAAGCCATTCCCTGTGTCCTGTCCCTCCAGGCCTTGTCCCCAGTCCCTCTCCAGCTCTCCTGGAGCCCCTTTAGGCCCTGCCAGGGGCTCTCAGCTCTCCCTGGAGCCTTTTCTTCTCCAGGGGAACATTCCCAGCTCTCCCAGCCTGGCTCCAGAGCAGAGGGGCTCCAGCTCTTGGAGCAGCTCCGGGGCCTCCTCTGGATTTGCTCCAAAGGGAGAACTCTGATTCCAAATTTCCCACCCTCATGACAACGTGGCCAAGCAAAGAGGCTTCTCCACCAACAGTGTGCAACCAAACTGAGTATATTTTGTTATATTCAGTTCAAATAATGACCTAACTGGAATAAAACCCTAATTTCCATCCATTCCACAGCCTGGTCCATCCCAGGACTCCTCTCTCCTCTGTCAAAATGAGACCTAGAGATGCTCCAAAAAGATCCTGACCATTACCCATGTGCTGAATACAAGAAAACACAATTAAAGACATTAAAAAAAATCACTTGCTTGTTACTGAAGAACCATCAAATAGGTACTAAAGTAACAAAACCAACATTATTTTGCACAAAAACTGGACTACAGAGAATTATTTTGGTACCCCAGGATTGATGCTGATAAATGTTGTGGCCAAATCCAAGTCAGTAGAGCTGATGCTCTACAAAGTCAGCCCAAAGGGAGGAAGAAAGGTTTGAGATCATCTCTCTAAGTGACCCAAAATGTGATTAAAATCATAATTATCACCAAAAAAACCCAGTGTA